TGGCGCAAGAAGATGGATTTTATAAAATAAAAAGCAGTTGAAACTGCATTTTTATGAATAAAAATTTGATAAACTATTTATCGTTTTATGACGAATAAAAGTTTTTCGTCGCATTCGCGGCTTTTAAGTAATGCATAAACCTTCGAAACGCGAGGCCCTTCAGACCGCCAGGCATAGGTGGTAGCCCACGTCGCCCATGCCTTATGCCGCCCTTGGTCATAGAAATGATGTAATTTGAATATAAATTATTTATAAATACGTATGTCAAGTTATATTTTTATTACGACGCAAAATATATTTGAGAGTTTACGGCCACTGTGCTGAGTGAGACGTTGTAGAAACCAAAAAAGTTATGCATTCCATCATGTACATAAACAGTATCATAATTTGCCAAGTGCAAATCAGCAAATTCGTAAAATTTTTGTTTATTTTGAAAAATCTGGATAATCGAAAATCCGGATAATAGAGGTCCGGATAATCGAGGTTCTACTGTATTCATAATTTTTATGAATGAATCTTCTCCAGAAATATTAAATAGAATACTCTTCAATATTTTAATTACTAAATGTACAATTTTGTATTGCAAATTGCAAAATATGCAATTTTGTATTACAAATAACGTTTGAAAATCTTGTGATCTGGTTATAACAAATTCAAAAACTCAAACTTTGGTGTAGGTTTTATTAGGAATGCAAAATATTTTAATGACCAAAAATTTCCTCAGAATATTTTGCACACAAAATTTTTCCGAAAATTCTTTGACATTAGTAGCAAGTAAACTAAGACAATTTATGAGCAAATTATAATTATCAAATTTTTTATGGTCCACCTGTTATTTTTTCAATCATTTTGTTTCTGATATAGAAAACATTCCTAATTAAACAATCAGCCACAAACTTTTCAGCTTTCTGTAATATTTCAAGCAGTATTGATTTTTGAAACACAACTATATTGCAAAAAACATAAAAATAAAGTTAAGGTGTTCTGATTGGACAAAACTAATTGGTTTATCTGGAGGAAAACATTTTTGTGAGTAAAATAAAACAACATTGTAATTTATCTGACTTCCAACCAAAAAAGTGATCATTGTTTATTGGAGGTAATAAAACACTTTCCAGTTATAGAAGGGGGTAATGTATACAAAGTTGGGCATGAAATGTTTTAAATTCAGTGGCTCTTGTAACTAACAAAGCTAAAACAGATGAAAGAGGTGAGCCCATAGGCACTCCCTGTTTTTGCAAATAGGGGAACCTGGGGTGGAATGGGGTAGCTAATGAAGAAGTTAAAATTATGTCAACAATAAAAGAAAAATAACAAAAATATTACATTATATCCTTTATTTATTATATTTGGCACATAATTATTTAAATTAGATNGTTGTATAAAAACAATGTACTGTAATAAACTGGTTTTGTGGATGTTGCAGCATTCACTGAATAGATAAAGAAAGAAGAGATAGAAAATTCAAGAAATGAGAGATGATGGTGTTGCACACAGCATGGAAGTGAACTAATGCCTATGTCACTCAATCACGTGTGTTTCTATAAGCTAGCCTGTCAGATGTTGGAAGCATAACAAAAATGATGAAATTACGGCAGTTTTCCATTTTTTTCTTAATCTATGGTTTGCTGTGGCACTTGCTATGCCAACTGGCATGGGATATCTGAAGCTGGCTTGTAACCCAAATTTTAGCTCTCAACTGAAAGCAAAAAATTGGCCTAGAGATGGCTCATATCTTGAAAAACTCATAGGTTGGGACACTCGTAAGTCAAGGTTTTACTGTATTTTAAGTTTTTAAAATAATCAGTATTCAGAAGGAAATATTTATCTTATGTTATTTAAGATATTTCTCCAGATCATTTTCATTTTTTGAGCTGTTATTCAGAAAATACATTACAATTCATTTATTGTAATTATTTTGGAATTCTGTTATATTGATAATAATAATGAAATAATAATATTAAGCCAAATAAATAAATAAGATTATAGTTAGTGGAAATTTTGGTTTTACTGACTCTTTGTTTTGACACATCCTTTAAAATTGTCTATTTTACTTTGTTTTATGCTTGGTACTCCATTCCTGATTACCTTTGATGTTTAGAGGTGGAGAACCTAAGAACAGAAATCTGTTGTTTTGATTAATAGCAAATATTTGTTTTCTAGTGGAAAAGTTACACATGTTAAGATGCAATTGAAATTTGCCAGAAAAAACATCAGTACTGATGCAATTTGTTCCTCTATCCACTTTTTTCCACCTGTTTGCTCTGTATGAACTAAGCTTAAAATTAAGACAAAAATTATTTTATATTTATTATTTTTTTTAAAGTTTTGTTTGACATTTATTATTATATTATTATTCTTGCTATTTGATAAATAAAGCAGAAATGAAGTGATAGGATAAAAATTTTGCCTTTTGGTTTTGGCAAGCAACTTGTTCAAAAATTTTTCTGCTGTTTCATTCATCCACTTGTTTAGAAAATGTTTTGCAAAGATTTGTTTTACTATTGTCTTCTTCTTGAAAGGAATTAAATAATATAATAAATTATAGATATAGAGTTTAACAAATGAAGCAAGTAAACCAAAATTGTAACAACATCCTCTTAAGTTTTAATTTACTTAACAAAATGGTGGAAAGTAATGCTGCTGTGTATTTGTGTGTAAACAAAACAAAACATTGCACAATCAAGCTAGATTAGTCTTTTAAATGTATATACAGTAGAGCGTTGTTTATCCGAATCAATTGAGGACTGGGGTTGTTCGGATAACTTATTTTTCGGATAACCAATTATGTACGAAAAAATTTATTAATTTATCCCGTGTTGAAATTTTTCTCCATTGCGTGTCGCTTTGCGTTGAATTTTCGTTGATGTTAAGCCTAACGAAGACTATTTTATCGTTAAAAATTATTTTTTTATTTTGTACATACAAAATAAATATATTGAAAAATATAAAAACAATAAAAAAATTATACTTCAGAAGTTAATTTAGTATCAAAAACGTAAAATATTTGAGTAGCCGAAGACATAGCCAAAGATTACAGCACCACAGCACTGGCGAAAATTTAAATTTGTTGACTGGAATTCCTTCGGATAACCGACGTTTCGGATAAACGACGTTCTACTGTAGTTTAAACTTTATACAAAAAAATAGATTAAAAAATGTTTTTTTTTTTAATATTGTTTATAACAGTACTGACACAGAATCTGAAGAGGAAGCATTTGCTGAAGAACTAGAACGTTCCATGACTGCTGATGAGACTAGACGATTAGCTGAAACTTGGCAACAACGCTATTCTCAAGAAGGTGGATTTTTAGACAAAAGTAAATCATCATCATCATCATCATCTTCATCACCATCCGAAGGTTCAGAAACAGAAATTGGAAGTGATGACACAAGTGAGGATATTGATAGTGATGAAGAATATAGTTTTGATGACAGTGCAGAAGGTAAAATTATAAATTTTATATTAAAATGATTATAAAATTGTCATTTCACTGTCTAAAAAAAATTTATTTTATTAAAATCAAAAAATAGAATAGATAATTCATAAATTAGAATTTTATATAAGAAATATTTCTTAGTAAAAATACCAGTTTAAAAGTATTCTTAAAATTTCATTGAATTTATTTATAGATGATGACAGGGAAGCTGAGACACCTATTGAATCCAAAGAAGTTGTTGTTCAAGTACCAGTTATTGATTTGAAAAATTGGAAAGGCCAAACAGAAGGTATTTATATTATATTTTAATTGTTTATTATATCACAATAAAAACTTATATGGTTTTCTTTATTAATGCAGTAAATCCTTGTTTTACAACCCCCTCTTTTCAACTGATGTAAATTTTATATTATGACTTATGGAAAGCATTTTTCTTTCCATCTCACCACAATAATATATAGAGTGATTCAAGTGGATGTACCATCACTTACAGAGCTTATTACAGAGGACATTTTGAGTAAAATATGTCCTATAAACTTGGGTCTTGTTCTGAATAGTTATGGAATAATTCATTGAACAGTGCTAGATCTATCCATATTAGATTATTACATGTGGGAGTAGTTGAAGGATACTGTGCATCAGACCTTCAAATACATAAACATGTGAGAAGCTACTTGTGCATATTATGCATGTTACTATGTAAATCAAAGATAGACAACTGGAGCTAAGCAGAATAGTGCATGCAGTTCATAAATGCAGCCAAGTGTGATGAACAAAGATGATTTTGAAAATATCTTATAAACTCAGTTTTTAAATATTTATTAAAAATAAACATTGTTACAAATTCATTTTGCATGTTGTTATTTACAACAGTTTATTATAGAAAAATGCATTTTATTTTCAACTTTCAAATTAGCCAAGTTTACATACTATTCACAGTGAATTACTCTATAACTATTGAGAAAAAGGCCCAAATTTATAGGACATTTTTTGCTCAAAATGATCTTTGAAATAAATTTCATAAGTAAGCTAAACAGGGTGATTCAGGAGAATGTACTGTCAAACTATATATTTAGGAACAAAACTTCAATTTGTGATATTGAGTCTATGAGAAATCAGTTTGATTTATAATTGGTTGAAATTCTAGGAACCAAGCAGATCATAGAATTGGACATTCTACTATATTAATTTTAATTTAGTAGAATGTATTGCTCAATCTTAATTTTAATTAAACAAATTTTGATCTATATGATCAAACTGAAATTTATTTATTGGTTTTGTATATTAATAGATATGTTTCCTTTTACAATATACAGGTATACCTCAAGTTACATCGTTCTCGATTATTCATTGTTTGTCAAAACAAAAAAATATATGGAAAAATAAAAGTCAGGCTTAAGTCATTTTATTCAACTTTACATCTGTCCACCACAAATATTGAAGTCATAATATCACCAGAAAAGTGTTAAAAGCACATAAAATCATATTAAAATACATATATTTACGGTAAATGTTAATATAATCATCATAAATCGTAGAGAATGAAATATGAAAACATCTGTGACTCTGTGTTGTTGTCTTATTTAGCGGTCTTTAAGAGCTCAACATTGGCATTTTCCATGGTATTTCCAATATCTACTGTTTGGCGTTGTTGTCAGCGCCACTTGATATTGGTAAATTTAACATAAATTAGTTTATTTTTTACTATTGCAAAATAATTTTAATAACTGTATTTGTTATTTAACCTTACAAAATCATCTTGTTTTATAATGTCTTAGAGCAAACCACATTCACAAATAAAGAGTCCACGATGTACTGTAAACATTGCCAAATTGTAAACATGTATATTTACAAGTATTTACGTACTGTACACGTATTCGTAAGTTTAGATTGCTTTTTTCTGTACTATATTAAAAACTAAAATTTATTTGTTTGTAAGCTTAAAATAGATTCTTATTAACCATATATTATTAAAAATGCATTTATAAATAAAATACAGAACTGGAAATGGTTATTTGTGGTTTAGCCTAGTGACAAGTAAATTTGACTTATGTCGTTTTTCGACTTAAGTCACCTCTCCTGGAACCAATTACCGGTGTAAGGTGAGGTATACCTGTATATTTATTGATGATAATAATTATAAATCTTATGTCTCGTATGTAGTGTGTTCAATATTAATATTTATTGAAATTTAATTTCAAAAGAAACAGAATATATAGATCTTATAGAAGTAATTTGAAGAAAAATTTCATAATTTTAATAACTAAAATTACACTTTATTAAATTTATCTATAGGTTGTTTAAAGTATGAATTAATTTGCATTTTAAAATTACATAAAAGTACATAAAAAATGATCTTTTATACCTTTAAATTATACAGATTCTTCTACAGAAGTTGATACAAGTGACATTACTGATACAGATTTATCAAAAGAAGGTACTGACACAGAAACTGAATCAGATTCTGATTCAGAACTAAATAAACCAGCACCTCCACAACAGATTCCAACAATTGTCATTGAAGAATCTCCACCTCAAGAAGAGAGTGAATTAGTATGGGGAGAGGTAGCTATTGAGGAAAATATTACTACTGTTAAAGATGATAATTACAGCAATATAATAGCAAAAGATAATATAAACACATTATCCAATCAAACAAATCAAGAATCTGTATTAATATCTGATGAAGATGCATCTCTTATAGTAAATATAGGAGATGCGGAACAAATACTATCATCACCATCTAGTACAGATCGTTCTTCTCACAGAGAATCTCCTTGTAAAGATAAAATAATCATGTCTGATAATCTAGTCGAAACATTCGAAACTCTAGTCAAAACATCTGTACAATCATCTGAAGTTGCAAATCCTCCAGATTCAGAACTTTATCATTTTGAAAAAGAAGTTAAAGAAATAGAAAAATCACTATCACAAGAAGATCTAAATTTGAAAGAAATAGCATTAGAAATAGTTGAAAACATAGTAAGTGAGGCAAAAGATATTTTGAATACATCCAAATATATTCAAACAGTTGTACCAAGTGAAAACAAAAATATAATTTCAGAAAAAATGAGTTCAGAATTCGTATTACCTTTAAATATTCCAGTTCAAACCATAAATTCTGATAGATATAAAATAGATGAAAATGAAAAGCCTACAGATACAAATGAATTGAAAAAAGTGCCTTCTGAAAAAATTAAAACTAATGAATCTGATTCAGAACAAATTCCACTATTATCCCCATTAACATTACCATTACAGAATGAAAATGATCTCAATAATTTAACTCTTGAGATTATGAATACTCCATCAGATAGCAGTACCAGTAATAGAACAATCAGTAGTGAAAGTTATAGTTCTGATTTATATTCACATAGTGAGCAAGTTGTAAAAGTAGGAACACCTGATTTTGTAAAACTTGTGTCATCAGATGATAGTGAAATAAGTCCAGAAGAAAAACAAATGAAAGAAGTCACAGATATTATAACAGATAATAGAATTCCAGAAGAAAATTCAAATGTTGATTTTAATTATAATCCATCTTTTATAACTCTTAGAGATAAGACAAAAAGAAAAAATGATAGTGAAGATATTTACTCTTGGGATAGTGATAACAGTGATTTACCTTTACCATGGTATGTTAATAGTTTAGAAGAAGCTGGCTCAGATAATTTATCTCAGATTCAGGGTGTTTATAGAGCAGATGTAATACAATGTGTTGATAACACAAGCAATGCAGATGATGATTACAATCAAGATTATAATTCATCTACAGTAATAAATGAAGTACAAACTACGGAAGAAAAGTTACAAAATATTGAACCCAACATTGCACCAACAAACTTTAAAGAAACTGAACAGAGTAAAATAATTGATAAAGAAAAAATATTATCAAATTCTACAGAAAAGTTTGGAAAATTTCATGGGTATAGTGGAAGCTTTGCAGAAAAAATTCGTCCTAAAAGTTTTGTTGGAGATTCTATATATTTAAAATCTTTAAATATTAATTTACAAAAATTAGACTTTCCATCTGTTACAAGAAGTTTGGAAAAACTGAATATTAATCAAAAATGTAATTTATCTGAAACTTCTTTAGAAGATGATAAAATGTTGAAAAATAGAAATTCTAATGAAAATTATTTTTCATCTGAAAGTAAATCTAGTGATAATTTAGTTATTGAAAATGATAAATCTGTAACACCTGTTATGGTAAGATTTGCAAGTTCCACACCAATTAACAATTTAAAAAATGATTCTGAAGATTTGATTACAGTAACTAATTCAGACCAACAAAAACAAGATAGTGGGAAAAATAAACAGAATTGGAGGATACCAAATTATACAGCTGAATCTGTACAGGCTGTACATTCCAGAGTAAAGGACCAAAATAAATCAACACTTCAAAAGAGATTTAGGAAAAGTATTCATGAAGATATTGAAGGGGTACCATTTGCTGATGATAAGGAGAATTCTGATATAGCTTCAATTAGATCTGCTACACCACCTGAATTTTTTACGCCAGTTGATACATCTAAAGGTATTCGTGAACAATGCACAGCAGATTTAGAGAAAGCAAGGAAGGAAGCAAGAGAACGTGCCAGATTAAAAAGTGATGAAGAACTTGGTTTAAGTCCATATAATTATAGAAAACGATATCATAAGCACCCTCCTTCAATTAATTCTTTTCAATATGAAGAATTATTACAGGATAATATTCTTGATAGTGATGATGATGATGGAGAAGATGATTATTTTGAAGAAACTCAACATGAACCAACTATATCATTCCATACTGAAGGTGATACTCTTAAATCTTTGTCTGTTGTTAATTCAAAGGACAATGGAATCACTAACTTAAAAATTAGTCCAATGTCTTCATCAGAAGAAGGAACTGGCAGCAATCCTTCACAAACTAACAGTAGTTCAATAGTATGTGATGATATTTTAAGTCCATCAGTTGATACAGTATCATCAGATAAAAATACAACCACTGCATCATCGACATCAAGAACAGATGCAGCTAATTACTTAGAGTCTTCCCTTTCTATTGATGAAATTGATATTAAACTTTCACCAGAATATGTTACTAAAACGTATGAAATGCAAAAGTCTCCTCCAGTTTTGCAAAATTCTTCAGAAACTAGTCCAGAAATACTAGATAATTCTCTGAATGAAACAAAAAAAATTAAATATAAGCAGAAATTATTCAGTCCTGGAGATGTAGATGAAAGAGGCAAAAATGGTGCAAAAAAATCATTATTTTCCTTACTTAATTTTACTAAAAATGGAAATAACAAAGACAAAAGCAAAATTAAGTCCAAAGATAATTCCAAAGAAACGTCATCACTCATTACAGACTACTCCAAGACACCACCCAAATTAAGATCATTTCCACATTTGAAACTACCACGTTCCAAAGAAAGAAATAGGGAAAAACAAAGAAAAAAATATCAGGCATTGGATAAAGTTGAAAATGAAGCATTTCCCAACCTATTTGTCTTTCCTTCAGTTTCAATAAGCAGTCAACATGCCAAATCTAACAAATTGGAAAATGTGAGAAAGTCTTTGGAGAAGCTGACTATGAAATCATCACCAGCCATAAATCAGCCCATTAATCTGTTAAAAGTAGAAAATGGAGTAGCACCAAAGGCATCTGGTAATTTCTGTTAAATTATTTGAACTTTTGAACAAGAACAAACAATTAGACAGAGTTAGACATCCTAATAAATAGGGTATAACAATTTGCAGGGCTTATCACACCAAGGCCAACTGAAAGAAGGACCAGAACTTTTATAAAAAAAAGGGTTGGTCTTTAATAATCACATTTCAAATTTAGGTAAGTATGCATTTCGGCTTGATAAGTAAGCTGATGAAGGACCCCTCATCAGATTACAAACACGTGGTAACAACATAACAAATACAACACCAATAACCTGCCAATACAATAGGATAACCAACATATGCAGTGCACTGCATTTACAATTTCTCAATGTAACCCATACATTAAAACTAAATATCAAGTATAAATTAGAATACAATGACAATGTGGTATAACATATTATCTGAGACCAGTAAATGTCTTAGTTTCTCCCACATTTTCCAAATTCTGGTAGACGGTTACATTATTAATAATAAATATTGTTAAGTATACTAAAAACACAAAAAGGGGGAAGGAAGCTAATAATGAACTTACTCTTATTAAAACCAATTGGTCTCCAGATTTTAACAAAAACAAAATACATCTGATCTATAAGCCTTTGTGAAATCAACTGCACTGTCACACTGCATTTTACAAAGTGATGTGACTATACTCCCTACATCTGTTCAGCATCTGTTTCAAGGTTAAGTGAAAATGATGTCAATCCACCCTTCATGTAGCTTCAGTCCCACGTTGTTATTAATTCTGATGTCTTCTTGTATTTTCAGAATTTCTAGGTGTTCCTGTAGTCTTCTTTTTAGTTGATTGTTTTCTGTCATAATACACTTGATGCTATCTTTTAAAATTTCACAACCTTCAGTGTTGCAATGTTGTGCCACTGATGANTTCTCCAGAAATATTAAATAGAATACTCTTCAATATTTTAATTACTAAATGTACAATTTTGTATTGAAAATTGCAAAATATGCAATTTTGTATTACAAATAACGTTTGAAAATCTTGTGATCTGGTTATAACAAATTCAAAAACTCAAACTTTGGTGTAGGTTTTATTAGGAATGCAAAATATTTTAATGACCAAAAATTTCCTCAGAATATTTTGCACACAAAATTTTTCCGAAAATTCTTTGACATTAGTAGCAAGTAAACTAAGACAATTTATGAGCAAATTATAATTATCAAATTTTTTATGGTCCACCTGTTATTTTTTCAATCATTTTGTTTCTGATATAGAAAACATTCCTAATTAAACAATCAGCCACAAACTTTTCAGCTTTCTGTAATATTTCAAGCAGTATTGATTTTTGAAACACAACTATATTGCAAAAAACATAAAAATAAAGTTAAGGTGTTCTGATTGGACAAAACTAATTGGTTAATCTGGAGGAAAACATTTTTGTGAGTAAAATAAAACAACATTGTAATTTATCTGACTTCCAACCAAAAAAGTGATCATTGTTTATTGGAGGTAATAAAACACTTTCCAGTTATAGAAGGGGGTAATGTATACAAAGTTGGGCATGAAATGTTTTAAATTCAGTGGCTCTTGTAACTAACAAAGCTAAAACAGATGAAAGAGGTGAGCCCATAGGCACTCCCTGTTTTTGCAAATAGGGGAACCTGGGGTGGAATGGGGTAGCTAATGAAGAAGTTAAAATTATGTCAACAATAAAAGAAAAATAACAAAAATATTACATTATATCCTTTATTTATTATATTTGGCACATAATTATTTAAATTAGATTTAAAAAAATCAATAATTTTGTATGAAAAATAAATCATTAAAAAAAGCTTGTCTACATCCTGTTTCACCCTGCACTCGGAGCAGAATGGAGTATGAGATTAGTGCTCAAATATTAGAAAAAAAATATTAGTCTCGTTGCTTACAAAACTTGCAAACCAGCACGGAATCACCATCATCGCTGTCAAAACCCACACAAGACATATTAGCCCAATTTTTTGCATGCAACACATGAATATTAACCTTCAATTGACTGTGAGTAAGCCTCGGTGCAGTAAAGGCAAGTCGTATCATCTTCTCCTTCCGAGTAATTGACCCCTTGTTCTTCTTTTTTACTAGACTTTGTTTTTTTTCTTTTTCCTTTATGGGAAACCATCCCATTGTGCCCCAAAGCACATTTTTCTAAAAATCAAGTAGAGAAAAAGTTTGATTACTTTTTGCATTATTTCATTCTAAAAATACAAATAAACAAATCTTTAATAAACTAGACTATATAAATTTAGTTAAATTATAAAATATACCATATACTGCCATTGTTTTAATGTTGATACACTTATAATTTCATAAAAAAAATCAAGACGTAAGGTTTTATTGGTAAATGACAAAGCGAATCTCAGTAACCAAGTATTTACACAGACGTGTTGTCTCAGTCTGAGTGTAGGACAGGGAGCAAACCAAATTCCTCACCTCTCTTTCATATGTAAATCGTCTTTCCCATACCGTCCTGGTATTCCATTCCACCCCAGGTTCCCCTAAATACCATCGTTGAACCAAAATAGTTATTATCAGTGTAACTAATAACAGAGTCTTCCTCAAGGATAGTATTTGCAGTATAGAATATGCTGGGGAACCGATGGTTATAATGAAACTACATCTATCTTGTAAAAATGATATACCTCCGGAGGAGTAGCTTCAATAATACTAGTTATATAAGACTGTCCTAAGAGCAGAAGAAACAAGTTCAGAACAAGGTGATAACATGGTACCTTTCCTAGCAAGTGCCTTTTCTAAAAAATAGGTTAGGTGGGAACATTTGTTTACCAAAGGACAAAAGAGCCAAGAATTGTTTGTGTGTGTTTATTTCAAAAAAAACCTGGGGCATGTCACACTTGCTAGTGGATCCAGGGGTCCAGATAATGTTGAAACCAGTTCCAGCATAGTGATAACATTCTTTACTCTTCTTATGACACTTGGAGTTGGATCTTCTGTTAAAATCATTCCTGACTGTATGTAGTAGGAAGTCATGAGCCCTACTTAGGAAATTACTATTTTTGCACAGGACAAACCCTTTGTCTTTGTCAGAGACCAAAAGCCTAATACCCCATTTACACTGAGCATTTCAATCTAGATTGTGACCCAAGGTCAGCGACTATGTCGTGGTGTGACCTCTCTCGACCATTTCAATCTTGACTGAAACCAGGTTCAATCATGATCGACTCATGAGAGTTCTTGAAACTAGATCCAGTCATCCCACAATTCCACACACGCGAGAAAATACAAGATGGCTGTGGAACATATGTTGGCCTATCAACAGAGAAATAAAAAAGACATCTGCCTTTGCGAACAGCATGACGTTCGACTGGCAACAGTCACAATCCAGATTGTAGGTAAATCGAGATTGAAGTGAGTCATGGATTGTGTGCAAACATAATATAAGATTTGGACTGTTTAACTCATTTTACTCTATTTCCATTCAGAAAATTTTAATTTTAATGTAATTAAACATAAAAAATACTTAAAATTGAAAAAAAAAATGAAAGAAATGCGTTAATTTTAAAGAAAAAGCTTCAAAGTTTATTTTCCATTGTCTTGCCTTTCTGCGAAATCTGATGCCATTGAGTAATTGTGTTTACAGCTGGATGACCTTGAGAACAGCTGGTGTTGTCTTTCCCGGGACATTCTCAGAAGTCTCAGGAGGTGAAGGGTATAAAGTAGTGTGAGAATCAGGATGTAGGGAGGGGGTAATTTTTTAAAGAAATTAAAAAAAAGAGAGCAATTTAAATTCAATGAGAAATTAATATTTTGTAACTCTGACAAATTTTTGAACAACGGATGTCAAAACTTTCAATTTTGATAGGAAGTTCATTTCCTTTCTTCGATGACTAGTAAGTTGAATCAGAAACAGGCGCACATGAGACTTGGCTGTCAGTTAGGCCGGCGAATAGTATAAAAGGGACATTTTTCCTGCCATTCTGGGTAGTCCATCAAAAGAAGTTACCATACAAAACTCAAACAATTCATGGGAGATCCAGAAGATACCTGAATTTGCCATACTAAGTGCTACACGAAGTAAGCATCCATAGATGTTACGATTCCTAAACGTCTCCCTGATTCTGAACGAGAAGACAGTGTTCAAATACAAGATACTTATGGGAACTGAATGTAGTATAATCTGTTTAGATTGATATGAACTCTCTCACACACGTATAGGCTGAATTAGATTTAAGTTAGATATTTGATTTTTCTCTCTGTGATATAGGTTCAGAATATATCATTTGTAATCCCATTAATTGTATTATTATTTTGTTTGATTCAATTAAATATTTTTGCTGTGTTACTTAATTATGGTCTCTTTAATGGTTATTATCCAAGCCTACGTCCCCTTTACTTACTCACCACCTCCACACTTGATATTTCTCTAAAATTAGACATATAAGAGTGCCTAATGCTATATCTAGGCTGGTGTCGGAAATCTTGACAGGAGACTGGTTTATATAATCGTACATCTCCACCTTTCTTAAGCAGTTTTAAAGCCATCCTAAAAGATAGAGATCAGATCGCAAGATCTTGTGTCGATTAAGTGGTACACAAGTTTACTGATGCTGTACCCCTGGCTTATCTCACAGTAGTGTGAATACTAGCTGGCCATATATTTCTAAATTTTTCAAAAATTACGTTTTTTATTGCGATTTTCGACCCCCCCTTACTTAATTAAGTGTATATATAATAAAATCTATTAATTAAAAAAATAAAAAACTATTGGAGGTTGTTTTTGACATTAGTCCGCGTATTTTTTTAACAGAACTCGTATATAACCAGCTGTGGGAAAATTTAGAGCATCTACTGTTCTTAGTTCTTACAGAATATTTCAGTAATACAAGTATTTCTACGGAAGGTGGTATCATTTCACAATCCAATAAAATTTTAATTCAGTCCAATATTGAGTCAATACCCATAGTTTGAGAAACACTGGTTTATACAATGTTTTTCAACCTCTATACAACAATGAAATAACATGTCCAATAAAACAAATATCAAGTGCAACAAAATAAAATAATAAAACATTATAAGAAGTTAAAAAGTTATGTATAATAAAGCAATTTCTTGCAAACAGCTTTAAATTTAGGAAATTCAAAGTAAAGTTTATCTGCAATTTTTATGGCTGCTTTCTGGTAGCAAAAAACAAATGATTTATGGTAACATTGAGCTGACAATGTGGAGAGAATAAACAAGTAACATTTTTAGTAATGACTGAGGTGTGGAGGTAAATGTATTGAGATGAAAGTAGACCATTAAAGTATAAATTAGGCAAACCTAGGCAGACACATGAGACTTTTGGGGAATCTGTAAAGGGGAGATTAGAAAGAGCAAAATATAAATTTTAGCCAATTCTGAATAAAGTTTGTTTAGTGCAGATGGAGAGGGAGAAGCCTAGATAGGTAAGGCATAGTCTATTATGGACTGTATATTGGTATAAAATAATACTCTGAGCATTTGTCTACTAGAAATTACTCTAAAATTTTGCCATAGCATTCCTGTATGAATTGAGACTTTAATTAAATTTCCTATATGCTGTTTGAATGAAAGTTTTGAATCAAAATTAATACTAAGTTCCTGGACTCAAAGATTGGAAACCATTGATAATGTTGATAATCAATAAAAAAGTATTGCAAGTTGGTACTCTCACCAGGCTATAGATCATTATTTTAGTTTTGCTAGAGTTTATTTGTAAATTTAAATCTTAAATAAGTAATTAAGTTTTTTAATATCTTTGTGTAATGTGCAAGGAAAACGATTAGCAAGTTTAATGTCATCAGCATATGCATTTATGAATGAAGAAGTAATACTAGAGTGTGTCTTATCTATGTAGGGTATGAAAGGTAAGTTGCTAAGGATCGAACCCTGAGGTATATCTATCAATGGGGAAAAGAACAAAAAATAAAAATCGGAAATCTTAATCTGACAAGAATGTAATAGAAAGAAATTGTTTAGTCAGGTCAAAACAATGCCATCAGTTTCAAATTCAGAAGATAATTTGTCTAACAGAATATTTTAACTTCTTCATTTTCTGTTTAACAATAAAAACTGGGTTGAGAAGAAATGATCAGTTAAAAGAACTAAGATAAGTAGAGAGTTGATGCCATTTAACTTCAGACCAAACGGATATATTAATACAGTAGAGCGTCGATTTTCCGAATCAATTGGGGACTGGGGTTGTCCGGATAACTGATATTTCGGATAACTGATTTACGTACGATAAAATAGTTTAACGTATCCGATGTCGAAATTTTTCTCTGTTGCGTGTCGCTTCGCGTTGAATTTTTGTCGATGTTAAGCCTAGCAAAGACTATTGTATCGTTAAAAATTATTTTTTTATTTTGTACATACAAAATAAATATATTGAAAAATATAAAAACAATAAAAAAATTATACTTCAGAAGTTAATTTAGTATCAAAAACGTAAAATATTTGAGTAGCCGAAGACATAGCCAAAGATTACAGCGCCACAGCACTGGCGAAAATTTAAATTTGCCGACTGGAATTTTTTCGGATAACTGACCTTTGGATAAACAACGCTCTACTGTAATTATTTTTTATAGTTGTCAAAATTAACTTTACAGTGATAAAAGCAATGAATTTATTGCCACAAGCATTTTAGTAACCACCAAAATTCTAACCAAAATGAAGTGATATTATTATTTTGAAAGAGGATAATGAACAGAAATTTATCAGCTTTCAAGATGCAAATTCAAACAGGAGTATCTAATATCATTAATTCTATGCTATAATGCAGTGCTGTGGAGTCGGGATTGGGAGGAACTTACTTTAGTTTTTTTTATTTAAATGAAAGAAAATTTATTATATATTTATTAATTTTTTAAAATCTTTTTGTATTTTTTTATAATTCATTTATTTTAAATACAAAATGCATCAATTTAATTTATTAAATATATAGTATTATTTGTAGTATTTGTGTTTAATAGTTAAATTATTTTGACCCAATTGAATTTGAATATTTTTGAATCATTTCTTTATTATCCCTGCTCTAAATAAGTACTCTATTTTTCTGAATGAGCCAGACTAATTGATCAGAGTACATAGTTTTACTTTCTGAACAAGGGCTGAAATACCTGGCTAGATCATACACTTTTTAGTTGGACTAACTTTTCTGGAAAGGTGAAATTGAAGTGCAAATGCTGTCGAATATATGTAGATGTAGAATTTTATCGCCCCCTTTCTCTTCTTATTAAGTATTTGTTAAAAATAAATTTTTTTATATAAATAAATTTTAATGTAAGTTAAATATCAAAAAACTAACAATAAAAGTATTTGGGTAAATGCCCCAGAGTTCAGAGTTCATACCCCGTATGACTGCTTCTGCCACCTCTCCATAAAATGACTTTGTATTTAATTTTTCCAGAATCGAGTGTTTTTTACCGACTTCGCAGCCCTGCTATAATGACAGTACATTCTATTGTTTTTATACAATATTCATTATTTATAATGATGAGAATTTTGAAATAGTGGTGAGGAAACCTGAGAGTGAGATTCTTCTTCAATTTCATGACTTAATTATTTCATAAACCAGTATTTTAATTATGTGGTCAAGCAAACCAGATTTTGAAGGCTTTTTCTGATGCTTATAAACATTTTCTTTATTTTTGTTCTTAACCAGTTACATGAGCCATATAAATATAAGATAGCTGCTTTATGGCCTCTGGTTAGAAGGACTTTTACATGATGTTTATCAGCACAGGATATGAAAGAAATGAAATTCATTTCATCTGTATCCGTATACCATGACCATTTGGTGAACCTCATTAACAAGCTCATACATCAATATCGCCATCCTGGAAACCAGACGTAGCATGAAGACAAGTTCATAGTTTCTACATATAACAAGGCACTGGCTCAAATCTATCCTGAAATTGCCTTCTAATTTGAAACTGTGTCTTTTATCTATGTTTATCTGTATTGTACAATGAAGGTGTCAATAAGCATTTTGGCACCTAAACATTAAAATAAAAATGGATGTAAAATAAAACCCAGTGTCTATCGAAGGCACTTCATTCTGCAATATGGTTAAACTATTCTGAAATTGTTAAAAATATGATTAAAAATTGCAGCCCGGCATTGTGATGATGTCACAATAAATAATTGTTTGTTTTACATACAGTGATAGTTTTTTAATATCAACAGTAATGGTTAGCATGACAGTATATTGCTGTTTTCCCTCTTCTATTGTCTGCACTTGTAATATATTTTTTTTTTTTTTTGCCTTGTTCACAATTGCTTATCCTGACATATTTAAAAATACAGGCATTTCATCAGTATTCTGTATAAGCAGTGGTGATATTCAGCGGGTTCGCACAGGTTCGGCCGAACCCGTTGTTAACATTTTCAAAGTTTTCCGAACCCGTTGTTAAACACATGTAACATTTCTCAGTGGTTTTGTTTCTTTTAAAAAAATATTAAAATATACATAATATACAGTACTCTGTAACACTGCTAAACTAGAGCCCTATACCCCCGTTCGCTTTGGTGCAACCTCCATCGACCGTTTCAATCTTGACTGAAACGAGGTTCAATCGCGATTGACTCAAGAGAGTTCTTGAAACTAGGTCCAGTCATATGAAAGATCCCACAATTCCATGCGCGAGAGAAAATACGAGATGGCTGCGGAATACGTGTCTGGCTATCGACAGCGAAATAAAAAAGATATTGTATTTCGAGAGACGATGACATCTATCTATTATTATAATAATACCTAACGATAAAATAAATGATTTAGAAAAGTTTTTTCTTGAGAAAAAGCCAATTTTTATGTTTATAAAATATTTTGAATGAAAAATATTAAAATATGTACAAAATAAACAATTTTAAACACTTTTTTTTATTATTTATAAAAAACATATAGTTATGGCATTAACAATGTTAAATTTTAACTGACTTAATTTTGCGAACGCATTTTTTTTTATTTATATGAATATCTTAAGGTCAGTTTTTGCGCTAATGTTGCTAATGCACCATTTGAGCGAAAAAAAAATTGTTAAGGAAAAATTTTCTGTTAGCGAACCCTTTGTTAAATATTTC